GGAGGGATGTGAACCTATGACATACAACTATCTGCTGGGGCTTTGGGGGGAAAAACTGAATAAATAAAATCTTAAAAAAAAAAAAAAAAAAAAAAGATTTTAAGTCAGACGAGTTAAAATGGACTTGCAGTTAGCAATTGTGTTCCTTTACTGTGGTAGTGCATTTTCTCCATACAGAAGTCAAGATTTAGTGTTTTGGGTTGAATTAATAGTTTCCACAAAAGTTTTTTTCTGTTAGTTTTGTGTGTGTGTACACACGTGCATTTGCCTTCTCTAGGATTATCATTGGAATATTGAAGTATTAAAAGAAATTTATTGCTCTTAAGAACCTGTAGAGAATATTTCAATAACTTTTATGCCCTTCTGTCCAACACCTAGAAAAATGGGTATTATTTCAAGAATTTTAATGAGGAATATGTCTATCACATGCACAAAACTAAATAATGGATTCGACTTTTGACCTATTAATTAGAGTGGTATCTTTTAAGTAATACCTTTTTCTCTCCAGCTACTATATCGCCAATTGTTTTGTTTTTTTGTTTGTTTGTTTTGTTACCATTTTTTTAAAATTTTTTGTTTATTGCAGTAACATTGGTTTATAACATTGTATAAATTTCAGGTGTACATCATTATACTTCTATTTCTGCATAGATTACATCATATTCACCATCCAAATACTAATTACAACCCACCACCACACACATGTGCCGAATTATCCCTTTCGCCCTCCTCCCTACCCCCTTCCCCTCTTCACCCATTGTTTTAGAGAATCTAACTAGAATATAAGTTCCTCAAGGGTACGGATTTCATCTTACACTTGTTTGTGTCCTCATTGTCTCACCTAAGGTCTTATATCAGAGTGCTTCAATAAATATTAAGATGATAAAATGTCTATTTTTCTTATTTTGGGGGAGTTTGTTTTTATTGTGGGAGAATGACTTTACTCTGATTTTATTCGATTTGTTTTCTTTTTCAGCCCCATTGACAAACCTTCAGATTCTCTCAGTATAGGGAATGGCGATAATTCCCAGCAGGTAAGATTTTAATACTCTATCACTTCATTTATATGCCATCCCCTGAAAACAAGGTATTGTATGCAACAGAATACTCTAGATAGTGAAAAATACTTTACTGAAACAATTTAAAGACAATTTTAATGAACATCTTTGTTAATTGTATTACACTTAGCCTTCTTTTCCTCCACAGGATATATAGAGCATAATTTAACCCTTTCTTGATGACTCAGAATTACAATGATGACCATATATTATTATTTTGTGTGCTAGTACATCAGTGTCCTGAGAGTTTGCTGGTATTATTGGTCTTTTTGACCCTCTACCAAGTGGTCCCAGATGAACATGACTTCTGGGTTCTTGATTTTAAGCGTTGTTTCTCCGCCATGTGCTCCCCTGTCCCTTGCTGTCAGCTTTAATTTTCCATGTCTCTCAGTGCACTTGCCTCAGCAGTTTTCCCCTTTCCCCCAAATGATAAACCAAATAGTTAATTTCAAAGTTGCATCTAAATGATACTGAGTGAGGTCTTGATTTTTAGAACATGCTTTGTATCCTCTTGTCTAGCTGCCAGCTTTGCACTGCTTCAGTTTCTGTACATCTTCTTACATTGGCAAAAAAAGTGTAGTTCTAATCTCTTCCATAAAGAATGACCAGTTTCCTACAGTGTTTGTGAGAAGCTTAGAGATCTAAAATACAGTCCTTTTCCAATCTTTTTGCTCACAAATTTCATAAAAGAATTTGAAAAATCTGTTTATCCTCTTGTATATTTTAGGTAAATATTAAATTTTTTTTCATAGTAAGTTAACAATAGTTGCAGTGGGTGTAATTTTCAGCATATTACTAATATTGGTACTTTTAAGTAAAAATGCTACGTTGCTTTTAATAAGTATCTAAGAAATATAAATATCAGAATGTTTTGTTAATCCATCATCCATTAAAAAAGAAATACACAAACTCTCCTTTAATATTCAGGAAATTTACATTATTCCTTTTTCTCCTTGAACTCATTTTTCTAGTTCCACTGCCATTACAGAATTTTATCTTAATGCAATATAGGTTATGCTTGACAGGCATATACTTCTCTCAAGTGGAAATAGACATATAAATTTCGAAGCAAAACCGAAAGTATTTTTGCTGACAAGGCTTTAAATGCCCAATTTCCTTCTTTTGAATTTTTATTTGTAGTTTTGATTTGATCAAAGCAACTTATATAATATAGATTTTGATAAAAATTAATCATTAAACGTAAACACTAAACTTATATTGGAAATTCATCTCTTAATTAGTTAGATACGGCCATTTTAGAATTAGTTTTCAAGTATCCCTAGATGAATATTACCTGTTGGTAAAAGAAGGCAAGTTTCAGCAGCAGTTCTAGTTATATTTTTCCTTTTTCTAAATGTAGGTGCTGAGATGTCTTGTTTATATAAATAAGTAGATGGAAGAAGGAGTATTACATCCGTACACTCAAATCTTTAAACTCCTAAATTAAATACCTAAGAATCATATAATGATTTACCATAAAATTATTTTTAACGATATGTTTGGAAATAATTTGATTAGATCTTCCTTCCATTTTGTTCAAAACTAAAATATTGGGAATCACCCAATTTGCAAAATAATCTAGTCATTAGAGTCAGTCACTCTCATCACCGATCTGAATATTTCTAATACATTTTTGTTTGGCTCCCAGAAAGTTTTCACTCTTGGGCAAAATACTATAGTTATATCCCAGAGAATAAGAAATATTCTTTTCTTTGTAAAGTGAGAGAAGTTAGGTTGTAAAAGGAGAGGACATTGGCTTAGTCTTTTCAGGAGAGTCAGTTTTAGAAAAGAGTACATATGTAAGCTGATGGATTTTCTGAAAATTCATGCTCATAAAAACGTCCTCAAGTACTCCACTTTGAAAACAGCTGTTCTGATACCTTTAGTTGCAAGCCTTTCTAATGGTGGCTTATTAAAATGTATCCACTTGTATTGATCTTTCTTTTCTTTTCCTGTTTTGTTCAGATATCTAACAGTGATACACCTTCACCACCACCTGGTTTATCCAAATCTAATCCAGTCATCCCTATCAGTTCATCCAACCACAGTGCACGGTCTCCTTTTGAAGGGGCAGTAACTGAGTCACAGTCGTTATTCTCAGACAACTTTCGCCATCCCAACCCTATCCCAAGTGGGCTTCCTCCTTTCCCCAGCTCCCCACAGACATCCAGTGACTGGCCTACAGCACCAGAGCCACAGAGCCTCTTCACATCAGGTATGTAACAGTACTGCCGAGTGTTGGTAGTTATGCTCAGCCTAACCTGAGACCCTCGGTGCGTATGTTTTTACCCTTTTTTTCCCACCTGCTTTTTCATAAAAACGTAAGCATTTCAACTGCATGGAATTGGATGGTTACCTAAACTGTTGTATGACCTAGAACTTACTATGTTAACAGACAGATTTCTCCAGGAAACAAGGATTAGATCATTTCCCTGAAAATAAAACGCTTATTTCTCTAGGAATTATTAAGGTCTTGCATTTTTAATCAGATTCGTGTTTGTATACTTATATTTAAGATTTTTTTTCCCCAGCTGACAAAGAAGTATGTTAGTTAATATTAAAACTTGTATTTTGGCAGTTTCGAGCCATTTCCTTTTTTTTTTTTGTGAACCCCGGCCTCTGAAGCAGAGCGTGCTAACTTAATCACTGCGCCACAGGGCCGGCCCCAATTTCATTTGAATGATTTATTCTGGGTTTTGATTATGAATGGTTGAGGGTATAATTTGAGTAGCAAGTACTTTGTTGTCTTTGATTAGTGATTAAAATCAGTTTTTATCATTCAGTTTTTGAAGTTAGTAGCTTAAGAATGAAATCATTGCTAAAAGTATACAAGGCCTTTTGTAATTTGATTGATAATGTGCTAAGAAATCATACAGATTTTGCATATATGTGACTTTATCTTGTCATGTGACATGTTTAACTTAAGCTATTATGGATACTCATTAAGTATGAAAATGACCTTATGTATTTTAAATTCATCACGAGTTTTCTTCCCAACAGAAACAATCCCAGTATCATCCTCTACAGACTGGCAAGCAGCATTTGGCTTTGGTTCTTCTAAACAACCAGAGGATGACTTGGGTTTTGATCCCTTTGATGTCACTCGAAAAGCCTTAGCAGACCTGATTGAAAAGGAGCTATCAGTCCAAGACCAGCCTTCCCTTTCGCCCACATCTCTTCAGAACTCCTCTTCACACACTACAACCGCCAAAGGTCCAGGCTCTGGATTCCTGCATCCTGCTGCACCTACAAACGCCAACTCTCTCAATAGTACCTTTTCAGTCTTGCCACAGAGGTTCCCTCAGTTTCAGCAGCACCGAGCGGTTTATAATTCATTCAATTTTCCAGGCCAGGCAGCCCGCTATCCTTGGATGGCCTTTCCACGCAATAGCATCATGCACTTGAACCACACAGCAAACCCCACCTCAAATAGTAATTTCTTGGACTTGAATCTCCCACCACAGCACAACACAGGTCTGGGAGGGATTCCTATAGCAGGTAGGTTCACTTATAGCCTTTGAGAATTTGTAAATAACTCATGTCTTGAGTTTCTTGGGTGGGTAGGGAGGGGCAACTGAATAACAGAGAGTACTTATCACTAGTCTTGGAAATTTCTATGGGGAAAATAATTAAAATTCTTACCATAATCAAAAAATTTTTAACTGGATGGATGCCTTGTAATATTGAGCTTTATGAGTATGGTGGAGTATTATACCTAGTTAGTGCTTGGAAGCATTTCACTTTATAGGATAGTTACTAAACTTGCATATGGCATGTAAATGCAAAAAGAAAAAAAAATGGGCTCTGAAATTATAGTGGTATAAAGTCTGACACCATGGTAAAAATTCTGATTATACATTTTAAAAGTAAACTAGTTCAAAAAATTTTTTTAAAGATGGTAATTAGTGAAAGCATGAGAGATAAAGCCACTCTCTAACTACTCGTGGCGATTACTTATTTTGACTGATACACACATGTACACACACACATGAAAACTATTCTGTGTGTTACTAAAGTACTGAAGAACTCTGATTATTAGTGTTTCACAGACCTATGTGCATAAGTATACTTTCTGTGAAAAATTGTTCAAGGAGAGACATTTTCCCTTTTGGTCTGTTATGTTTTTGTTTCCGGGGACCATGTTAGGTTTCTCTAAGTGATGCTAAAATACTTCTGGTTTTGTACTGCTACCCTTGAAGGTTTCAGAACTTTTGGGTTTTAAGGTCCAATATAACATCTTTTAGATCTAGTGACTTAATATATAAAGGGCTCATTCTGTGTAATATTTTTTTCTTTTAATTTGGGCTCTAGAGATGATTGGTAAAAAAGAGAGTTTATTCCTATCCTGATTCTCATAAGTAGAATAGAGTAGTTCCTCACTACATAGCATAGTTCATAACATTTACTTTTATCCTTTGTCGTGGCCTTTAAGATATGGCGTGGCACGGCACTATTGTAATGATGTACTATTACCAGCAAGGCATTTGTTCACCTGTTTTTAGCAAGGTAGATAGATGAATTTACAGAGATTCATCAAAATTCTTTGGCTCTCTTCCCTTCGTGACCAACAAGATTTCGTTTTCAAGACAAGTAGGTGGGTTAGGAGAGTATGGTTTGTGGCTGTTGGTACAGTGAAGTGAGCAGCTGGTACAGTGAAGTTAATTTTCATAAGCATGATAGCACCTAATGTAGTGGTTTGCACATTGGTGGGACTCATATTTCTTCATTTGATTACGGTAGCTAGTAGGTAATCCAGAGTGACGTTTTTCAATCCTCTCTTTCTATGTGATATTCACTTAGGAAACATGAAGTGTTCAGTTCCTGGTACTCCTTTTTTTCTTCTAATCAAGAAAGTATATTAGAGTGTAATTTTGTTTTGTTTTAATCATTTAGAAATGTGGCATTTAATTACTAGTAGTGTATCTCAAAGCTGTTGATAAAATTAAAAGTTAAAGTTAAGTTCCCCTAAATATTTTAAACATTTAAAAATAAAATGTAAAGCCAACTACAGTGAATATTTGGGTTCCTATTTGCCCAACGATGAACTAGGCCATGTGGGTAATACAAAAGAAGTATAAAATATGGATACTACTTTCAGGCACTTCACAGTGTAGTTGAAGAGATAAAATCAGATTATGTATGAAAATGGTAACTATATAATATTGGAATCTGAGAGACATCAATGGAGGCTGCATTATTTGGGAGGCTTCACTGAAGAAGTAGGGATTGATCTGTAGTGTGGTGTCTTGGATTTGAGTTAGCAGGAGGGAAAGAGAAAGACCTTTATGTTGATGGAAACTCCTGACTAAAGGCATAGAGGCAGAGATTAGTATGTCATCACATTAAGAAGCAATAGTACTGCCTTCTATGACAGGAGGTGCTTCATGTATTGTCTGGATAGAATGGATGAGAAGATGGGGAGCTCTGACAGCGAGGCAAAACAGTGGGGACTGATCTGATAGGAAGGAGGATGCCTTTGTGGAACTCTAGTTCTTAGCTGTCTTCATTGTGTACTTTTGGCTTATACTTGACCATCTTTGATAAACTATCTGTTCTTACAATTTCATAGTTATCATATTGTCCATTAGCACAAAAAGAGCAGTTTTAACCCAAATATTTCAAGCCAGTAGATATTCTGGAAATGCCACAGTGGGTAATGAGTAATCACTGATTTGTGAGGGTAGTGTCCTCACGTTAGTCATTTGAAATCTTCATCTAAAGTGGATACTTAATGAAAAAAAATGTGGCATTAAATTATGATCCTATCTTTGTGGGTTTTTCTTTTTCTTTAACATATATTCAACCGTAGTGCATTAAATATTTTTTCTCAGAAATTCTAAGAATGAAGTCACCAACTGTAGGTTCTGAATCGTATTTTGTGGGAGATGGGGAGAGTTTATTTCACATTTTCAGTTCTCACCTATGCATACTTGCTTGGTATTTAAATGGTGACTTATGATTAAGCTTATTATTTTTAAGGTTCTGATGACTAGAGAAATATTAGTTTTAACGTACCAAGATACTTAAAATTGCTGTCAAGAGTTACACAGAATCCTCTTATGGCCTGTAAGTATTTGGCAGATACTTCCGAAAGCTGAATAGGTTAAACCCCAAAACAGAATAATTGTATAATTGTAACCAGATGACTTAAGATTTTTAGTGACAGTTAGAAATGACAAAAAGTGAAATTCTGGAAAACTTACATCTTAACGGTGTCTCATTTGAAGAAATTTACTACCTAGGCGATAGCCGCCTTCCCCACCCCTAGTGGTAACGCAGTTGTTCTTGAGTTGAACTGTTGAAATAGGTTCACTTTGTAGCCTCCAGTGATTATCATGGCAACTTACACAGGGCAGCTGTTCATTAAGTGCCTCATAATGGGGAGTCCTTACTGTTTCAGGTAGACCTGCCACTTGAAGATACGCTTAGACAGTATTCAACACTGGAAGAGTCATGTAGATTTAGACATGTAGAGCAAGACAGGGTCCTGACCTTTAGGAGCAGATACTCAGAGGTGTCAGTCACCTACATATCATACAGATACCACGTCAACATTGATTATATATTTGTATTTAAATTTTTAGTTTTGAAATGTTTTAGTTAATTATTAAAAATTGATATATCTGAAACCTATCATGGGAAGAACAGTTGCCAGAGGTTTGACAGAAATACGGCTACCATTTCTTTTACCTAATTGAAAACATTTTTGTATTTAAAATTTATTTCCTTAATTAGGTGAAGTCTTTTTAGCAGCACTTTCTTGGCTGCACGTGTGGTTTGCTAAGTTTAGAAGGAGTTTTTGAAATAAATATTTTTTGGGGAAAACTTCGATTAGTAGGCAGTCTATTCAGATCTTTTTTATTATTGGAACAGTGTGTTTTTGTTTTAAAAGTGACTTTTCTTGTCCTAAAAAGTGACTTATTTTGTCCAACTCTGTCATTTTAGGAATGGCAAAGCTGTGTTCCAGAAAGGTTAAAGGTCACACATTCAATTAGTAGTAATTAGGATAAGAATGCAGATCCCTAATTCAGTAACTGAAATGGTTTTCCACTACAACGTTGGTGCTCTCCGCCATGAATGAAGATCACCGGCATGTACTGGAACTTGGCGTTCTTCCCATAGTACTTGTTTTTTTTCTCTCACAACACTTGCAGGTCCCTTTTATTCACAATATCTTTTTATGAGACAACTGGCCCAGCTCAGGGATGTGGCCTATACTTACTAGAAGTTTATTGACTTGGTGAAAATTAATCTCTAGCTTAGTCCTCATTAGTACCATGTTCTCACCAAGAACTCCAGTCTAAAATTTCCTTTATACACCCTCATTGCTATGTACCTCGGGTTTATAGAATCTTTGCCAATTTACCGGAAAAGTATGAAATAACCTGTTCTAAAGACTGCAAGTCTTTTTGTTCAGGTCGACAGTTAAGCTATCTTTCCAAATGTAACTTTGCAGATTTGTTTTTCAAAGAACTCTCTGCCAAGATGTTTTTATTCCATGATGCTAACAATTATTTGGAAAACAAATAATAGTAAGTCTAAGTCTGTAAGCATTGTTGTTTCAAGATATACTTAGAAAAATATTTGAAACTGTTTAGCATTGGATTTTTTTTCATGGTTTTATTCAAATTTTACTTATGAAAGGGCATTTTTCTTTAAATTCTCTTTGTTTCTGAGTTAGCTATTTTAACAGACTTGACTGAATCTTGAGTCATGTGTGAAACAGGTCACTTGTAGTCAAATAATTATAAGTTATAATTAGGAGAACTGATCTCATTTTGTGTATAGTTCTCTGACCTAGAAGTAGTCACCTCACTTTCAGTCAATTGTATCATTGTATTGTTAGCATTTCACTATTTTTCAGTTACTTCAAAAGTATTGAGTTTTCACATTACATGATAATTTGCTAAATTAATATTTATGTCTTTTTATTTCTTTTTTCTAAACATAATTTCTGCTTTTAAAACATGGATTTGTCATTTTCCCTTTTAAAAGTCACATTTTTACTTCTGTGAATGTAGACAATTTTTTTACAAAATACTACTTACTATTAGGAGTATGAGGATTTATAAGGGATCCAATTGCCTTGGAAAAGAGTGGCTTTCCTGGTCTCTTTTCTTTTCTTTCTGTATATTTATAATCCTAAATCTTTTATATTTGTTTTTATACCTGCCATAGAATTAAAATTAAGGGTGTGTTTAGAGTGTAACTACTTTCTGGGTACTTGATAAGTTTATATTTTAAATTTCATGTCTTGTTTCACACCCAGATTCCAACCATTAAGCATGTGTTTTATATATGTATCAGTATTCCAAATATTGCAAACATTTTTAAAGGGACTGTTAACAAATCTAGTCACCCGTAACTAGACCATGACTGACTTTTCCACAGGGGAAGAAGAGGTGAAGGTTTCGACCATGCCACTGTCAGCCTCTTCCCATTCATTACAACAAGGACAGCAGCCTACAAGTCTCCACACTACTGTGGCCTGACAACAGAACTGAGAGGAGAGGATTAGACTCTGGGGTGCTTGCATGGGCAGCCGGATTTTTGCATGATTCCTTTCTGATTTTGCATTTAATGTATACACACCCAAAAGAGCCAATATAAACGTTCCTCATGCCTACAACTAGTGTGTTACCTCATAGTTGCTAAAGTATTTCTTTATTAGGCCTTTAACACAAGTTATTAGCATAATAATTTTGGCATTGTTTCTCATGAGTGATACTATTTTAACTCACACAAATAAACTTGTAGTACTAATTAAGATCCCAGAGGAGATTAGCTAGAAGTGTTCTTATTTTGGTTCTATTATTGAAAATATACAAAGGTAATGGTAGTTCCTTGTTTTCTGATATGTGAAAAAAAATGGTAATATCCTAATATACTCATGAAAACTTTGAAAATTAAGAAGATAATGTCTATTGCATTCTTTGAATACTTGAGAAGAAAGAATACATATAAAACAAAATTGGTGGTGTCATTTAATGCTCAGAAGGATGTTGTCAGCAACTGTTTTTAGTTGTGTGCATTTATGTTCTATATTATGCATTACATGTCTAGAAACTGTTTTTGTTCTCTCTCATTTGCACATTTGCACTTTCTTTTAAATGGTTGTTAATTATATAGGGACAGTTAAAAGATAATTATTACAGACTAAATGCAATATAATCTCTTTTCCAGTGCATTGCCTAGTATATCAGGAAATGCCTCAGAAAGGTAATTTCAGCGTATAGTTGATTTGTCAGAAACTTGAATATGGGGTAAACATTGTGTGTGAGAAACAACCATAGTGGTGTAACATTTTTAGTCAACAAACGGAAGTTCTGTGGGATATCTGTTTGGAAATTTCATTGTTTAATAATTGAAACGTGATAATAAAACAATATTAAAAGTACCTGACCAGAATGAGACTAAGGTAGAAGAGGAGAGATTGGGGATCTTCTAAAATTAGGCCACGTAAGTTGTCAGAGCTAATTTTAGTTAATCTCAGGAAATAGTAGAGTACTTTATTAGGAGATAATGTGCAGTGATGTTTTTGGATAATACACAATTTCTTGAAATAGTTTTATAACTGAAAATGAAAGAAAATAAACTATGTTCAGTCTATGCAGTGGACAAAAGCTGATTCAGAAAACATGACCATGTTCTGCCTAAATTAAGCATCTGGGAAGAAAAGGGGAAAGTCAGAGCTCCTCTTGATTTTCAAAACACAGTTGTGATAAAAGATTTGCCTTAATTTGTTAAAAATATCGAAAGGGTAATATGATGACCAAAAAAGGAATCCTAGAGATTTAAAATAGTAATAATAGTAAAACACCGTATTAGGGGATGATACTTAATATCATGTTAGAGTTGGAGTTTCCAGGGTTACCTCTCTACATAAAGTCTGATTACTTTGTATTGGATATAATGCAACAAATTAAATGGCTTTGTCCTGAGGTATAGGGGGATAAACTAAAATCTATTCTTAGATATCCTTAGATTTGTTTAAGTGAGGGTGTAGAAACAGCTAATTATCTAGCCATTTAAATTATTTTTGTGAAATTCTGCATAAATGACAATCTCTAATTTCTATTTAGAAGTGGCTTTAAGACAGAGTTAAAATAAATTTAGAAAAGACAAATAAAATGTTGTAGACTTATTAGACAGAAGCTCTTTATCATGGGTTAATTATGGTTTTTGCTATAAGAGGTCAAGACATCCACTTAATGTCTCCTGGGGTGTTATGGCTCCTGGGTTTTGTTAACAAACTCGAGCTCCTTGTAATGAAGCTTATGAGCGCATGGCTTTCTCCAGCCTTCAATGCAAACCTTGCATTCCCTGGATCTTCTTACAAAGACATAAGAGGTGGTTAGCTCCCATTTACTTACCTATCTGCGTTGAGAGATACACCTGTTAAATAAGGTTTCTTTCCTGTAATAGCTTTTTCTTTCCTTCCTCATTTTTAGCCAGTGCCAAAAACCTGTCAAGATAGTTTGTCCAGACTTGCTAGAGCCCAGAACTGTCTCCCTGTCTGCTTCTCCCCGCCGACCTGCACCTTCCATGCACACCATACATCAGGAAAATGCTTCTTGGGCAATTAGGCTTCAACTTATATATTTTCACATAGAATAGCTAAAGATCATCCTTTAACTAACTTTATAATTCCAAGATATTTAAGCCTAAGGATAATAAGCCTCATCGTTTTGCTTACTTAATATTTCAAACAGTATGCTTTTTTAAAAAAGTCAAGTCTTAAAATCATAGTCAAAATTAATTATACTGAAGCACAGAAGAAATTACACAACACATAAAAGAAAGTACCATTTCACATAGCCAGTAAATTGATCAAACCAAATGATAGTAAAGAATGAGAAATTCTAAAAAGTTTGAATTTAGTTTTTGATAAATTCCTGCATGCTTGGTCTATCATGCACAAGGGAAACTTTACATGCTTTTACATCCTTAACCTTTAAAAAGTGACTAGTCTGTTCCTTAAATCAGGAATTTTTAACCTGGAGTCTTAAACTCTTTGGACGTACTTGCAGAGTTAAGAGTTTGTGTCTGTACATCTGTCCATTTTTCCTGGGGAGAAGATCCATAGTTATTAGGTTTGTAAAGGGTTTGGTGACTCCCCCTAAGAAAAAAAAGTTAAGAACTGCTGCCTTGAAATGCTTTTATTGCTTTTATTAGGAAACAGAGACCTAGACTGAATGATTATTCATATGATGAATGTCAAGTGCTGCTTTATTTTTTTACAGATTCCATTTGAAAACATTTTCTGATTAATACTTTCCTTTTCACTCTACTGTTGCATTTTGTTTTTCCAGGTGATGCCTTTGCATACTCTCCCCTTATTTCAGCAAGCATTAATTAAATATTTGAGAGCCTGTTGTGTGTAGTGACCTGAGCTAGGTCTTGAGGGATATAAGGTCGAATAAAGTACCGACCCTATCATCAAGGATAACAGTGTAGTGACAGTTTCATTTCACATTATTTCTATAAGGTCAGCTTTTGATATGTTTTAACCACAAGAACAGCCATAGCAGGTCAGACTCGTGTCGTTATTCTTCGCTCTGACGGTGGCAACAAAGGGTATTGAATACTGATGCTTGAAATTTTTAAATATATTCTAATTTGGAGTGAGCAAAGAAAATCTTAATAGGGAAACACACCTTCGTTATTCTTATTTAAGTATTTCTCAGTCACGTGTATAATATGCTCATATCTCTTACTCTTTACTTAGGGTCCTGGGAATTAAGTAGAGCTTTCTCTATATCTGTTCTTTTAAAGAAAACAACTTTAATACATTGTATCTGCGCACATTTTTACTGACATGTCTCGTGTTTGTATGATATTCCAAGCACCTTCAAGACTGCTAGAGCTGTCTTTTGCTGTGACACGGGTCCTTAGGGGGCTACTTCCACAGACACATTTCCTCTTATAGCCAAAAGAAAGCAACACATTGCAGGTACATTGAAATCTTACAAAATGAAGACCACCATGTTGTTTATGCATACATAAAAAGTAAGGGACATTTTATCCTATGTTGAGTTGTAAGATTTTGGATTTTTTTATTTATTTGATCGTGCAGTTTCCCCAAATCTGCTTAATGGCTTTAAGCAATGGATATCATACAACTGAAAACAAAATAATTAAAAAAAATTTTTTTAAAGAGGTGATAACCCAAAACGATATATATGTCTTTTTCTTCAAAATATGACCAATGTCAAGCTAGTATCAAACTGTCTGGTGTCAAGCTAGTCCTTCTGCCCTTAGTCCTATGTCTCTCTCCTCTCAGCCTTTTATCTGAGTGAATACCTATTATGTTGTCTCCTTGTGCTGTGCTGAATAGATGGCAGTAATATCTGCAAGTATTCACACATGAAATGTTTAGTGAACTAATCAGATACTATGCTGATAAAAAAGTAAACATGGCAGTTAGAGAAAGAAGTTATTGTGAGCTCGTTCAGAGAAAGGCTTCCTAAAAAGTGACAAGCTTTTTGATTTTGAAGGATGGCTGAAATTTAGATGATGGGGTGGGAAAATACAGTAAAGGGAGCAGATGGAACAAAAAAGCATAGACAGAGATTAGCATGGTCTGTAGGGGTTAGCAGGGAAGGATGGTAAGGAGATGGACTCGTCGGAGGTGTATAGGTCATATAGAAAAATGAGATAAGTTTGCAAAAGCCTTGAAGACTTTGACGAAGAGTTTAGTCTTGATGTGGATGTGGTCAATGGTAGAGAACTATAGGTTCTTTGGTAAAGATGTAACTTGATTGTAGCATTTTAAGAAGATTCATTTAGTAATATGTTTGCTTGAAATTAGGACCAATTAGAAAGCAGTTCCAATATGTTATTGCTGACCAGTGCAAATAAGATGGCCTGGACTAGAACAGTAATAATAGGAATGGAGATGAAATTATGAATTAGGAGTCAGAAAGGATGAGATTTAAGAAAGGCCTTTGGGTTTGGCTAGGTCTCTGGTGACCTTTAAAAATGTAACTTTTATAAAAAGGTGCAGATGGAAGCCAGATTCCTAGAATTCGTGGGGAAGTGTCAAGAGTATGGATGCAGCAGCCATTGACTATTTACTTAAGACCTTTGGTGACAAAGGGGACGAAGAAAACAAGATGCTAACTAGATGGGCGGTAGATCTTAGGTAGATCATTGCGTTAAGTTAAGGGAGATACCTAAATATTTCAAGGTGGAACCTATGGAACGAATTGAGAGGAAGACATGGACGATGCTGAAGAGAAGATAGGCTAATCCTGTAGAATAACCGATTTCTGTAGGTGCTGGGAGGAGATTAGCTCCTGAGATGAGGTTAGGTTGTGGGTTTAGCTTTAAAGAGATGGGGAATGTCTTCCTCTGTTGTTTGTTAGAACAATCAGAAAATCTTGGAGAGAGAATGTGAGAGTAGAGGAAAATGAGAATAGATGAAGGGGCTCATATCGATATTTATTGAATGTGTATTGTGTGAGAATGGTGGTGAAAGAGTGGATTTGGGAGCCTGTAAAGAAAGGAGATTAAATAAATCTGTGAGAATAAACCTAGAAGTAGATCAGAAAGAAATTAAAGAATTGCCAAGTAGGGGCCGGCCCCGTGGCTTAGCGGTTAAGTGCGCGTGCGCCGCTGCTGGTGGCCCGGGTTCGGATCTTGGGCGCGCACCGACGCACCGCTTCTCCGGCCACGCTGAGGCCGCGTCCCACATACAGCAACTAGAAGGATGTGCAACTACGACATACAACTATCTACTGGGGCTTTGGGGGAATAAAAAAAAAGGAGGAGAATTGGCAATAGATGTTAGCTCAGAGCCGGTATTCCTCGGCAAAAAGAGGAGGATTAGCACGGATGTTAGCTCAGGGCTGATCTTCCTCACACACACACACAAAAAAAGAATTGCCAAGTAAAGATAAGGATCAAATTAAAAAATTTTAGAGTCCAAATATGTATGGTTTTGTATGTTTCTCTGGTTCAGCACAAAGCGTCGGGAGTGGACAGAGCCAATATTGAGAGTTGTTTAGAAGGTGACAAAGAAAAGGACACAAAGCTATTCAAGAAGACAACATTGAAATACTGAATTTTGTGGTCAAAGAAGAGTTCACTGAGGCAGGAAAAGACCCAGTGGTATGAATGTGTTGAAGGGAGTTCAGTGATTTTATATTTTGATGAGGAGAAAGAATAGGTATAGTGTTGTAAGAGAATGACAATTAGGAGACTGTGGTCAGTGTGATGACCACTCAGTGCTGAATGATGATTCAGAACCAGAGAAAGGATGGTAGGTAGATGTCTAACATTAGGGCTGGAGGTTGGAAAGAAGGCTAGCTTTCATAACCATTATGGTCTCTTTTCTACCCACTTTCCCTCCAGTCCTTTCTTGAGAGTATGGAGGCAGACTGTATGACAGAGAATTGTGGAAAGCATGGTATTGCCTGGGGAATCCTGTAAGTTGAAGATGATCCAAAGGAAAACTTCCCAGAATGGAATAAACAGTCCTTCCTCAAAGCACAGTAGGTGGACGCGGAAGCAGAATGAAGGAGAAGGCCTAGGAAAAGTCAGAGATGAGATTGGACAGGTGTAAGTAAGCCCAGTGAGTGTGAGAGATGGGTAGACATGTTACTTATGATGTGAAAGATTTAGACAGAGCGAGCAGGTATGGCATATGGTGAGTCTGGTAGTTGAAGAGCCCATGTTACAGGTATGAGCTAGTTTCTCCCAAGCTCGCATACAAACTGAAAAGAATCAGCTTTCCACCTACTTAGGGAAAGTATCTCTTCTTACTTAGACTAGGTCATTCTGCTTTATTTGTGTAACAGATTGGAATTAAAAGCAGTAGATTGGTGAAGAGTAGAGAAAACTGAAGAATTTTATCATAACAAATTATAAAAATATTTTGACAATTTTTCCCAAAAGAGCATGTGTTGTGTGAATAGATACAAACCTGGAAGTTATTGAACTAATCTACTCTTGGTAGATTAGTACCAGCCTTCAGCTTCTTTAATCAGGAGGCTTTTCCAGAGAATCACTCTCGAGAGTTCAAGATTACTTAAGGAGAATCTACTCTGTTCCATGGTGTTTTATAGAGTCTACCTTGGGTTTGAGTCATACAAAAATCTGGTTTACACCTCTTAGTTACCTAGAACTGAAGGCAAGCATAAGCAATCTAAGCTACTTGAGAATTGGAGTGAAGTACCTGAAAGTTCCATGAAACAGCTGGAAATGGTTGTCCTTGAGAACCAATCCATTTTCTCCACATTTCTTCAGACCACACTTCCTAAGGCAGCTGTTGATTTGACGTTGTTCTTAGCCCACTTCACATGTTATGGTTATTCTAAAGGCTCCTGGAAACTCCACTCTGACCTTGGAACATACCGTGCTTGGAACAGTTTTGTTGTTCCAGCTCTTGTTTGGTTCTCAGACCCACTATTCTGCTCTGTTACAAAGCAACCCCCCAAAAGCATTTTTCCCCCCTCTGTATAATTTATAAGGCCTTTAAAGCACCCAGCACCTTTTTTAAAAAGTTGCGGCGAAATTCACGTAACATACAATTAACTACTTTAAAGTGTACAGTTCAGTGGCTCAGTACTGTTCTTTAATTCCCTCAGTGGTAGAATAGCAGAATAAATAACCCACTCCAGCTTGTGAGGATTTTGGCCTGTTCCTT